AATTCGATCATGGATTACATAAAATTCGATCATGGATTACATAAAATTCGATCATGGATTACATAAAATTCGATCATGGATTACATAAAAAAACAAACAAAAAAAAACAAAAAATTCAATCATGGATTACAAAAAAAGAAAAAAACAGTTCGATCATGGATGACAAAAAATTCAATCATGGATTATAAAAAACTTTATCATGGGTTACAAAAAAAGCAAAAAACAAAAAATTCAATCATGGATTACAAAAAAAAAAACAAACATTTCGATCATGGATTACAAAACAAAAACAAACATTTCGATCATGTATTACAAAACATTCGATCATGGATTACAAAAAATTCTATCATGGGTTAACAAAAAAAAAAAAAAACAAAAAAAGCGATCATGGATTACAAGAAAAGAAAACAAACATTTCGATCATGGATTACAAAAAATTCTATTATGGGTTACGAAAAACCAAAAAATTCGATCATGGATTACAAAAAAACAAAAACAATTCGATCATGGATTACAAAAAAATCGATCAAGTATTACAAAAAAAAAAAAAAAAACCGTACGGACTTCCCGATTCACTGTTCGGACTCGCCGATTCCGTACAGTGAATCGGCGAGTCACTGTGCAGAATCGTCCGGTTCTCTCTAGAACCGGACGATTTCCGATTTTTCAACCGATCCGGTCCCTTTTCGTAAATTCCGAGTCGAACCGGGCGAGTCCGGTTCGACTCGGCGTTTTTTAAAACGCTGATCTCTACTAACGTGAATTGTATTCCAGGCCGGTCTTAAAAGAGTCGGCGACCCGGCCGGACTGGAATCGGCTTGGAGTGGAATGTGAATTGTTTGGGCTAGTTCTATTTAAATATCAAGAACTGGCCACGTTCTTTTAGAAATCACCCAACACTTGCCAGTTTTCTAGAAATCAGTTGGTTCTGACCCGTTCTCTAATAGAATCGGTTTATATGTTAGGTATTCGGTTTCATTTTATTTTTTAAATTTTTTTTAAAAATATTAATTTTTCTTTGCCAGATCACTATCGTAGATGGCCTGGTGCGATTAGTTTTTCAAAAGCAGTATTTTTAAACCTTGATATGTCTCCATATCTCTCTCTAAAATTGTTTCGGGCTTCTCTCCTTGTGCATGCATCTGGCTGGTCTCGCTCTAAAACACCCAAGTTTTTTTTTTGGGTAGATTAGTGGGGGAATACGAGTCCCGATCTAGTTTTAAAAATAATTAGTGGTTTTCGAATGCGTTAGTGGGAATGAAAACTTAGACCGTTAGGTGAGGCTCAACCATTGTTAGAAATCCCAAGCGATCTGACCGCTAACTGTCCAGTTAGATCGTAACCGGCCAGTAGCCGGTTTCAGTTTTAGTAATCGACCAGTATTTGAAAAAATGAGTAATTTAAAAACTACATATAAATTCTTAAAAATAAGAAATTTGATTTGTAATATATTTTTTAATATTCATAACATTATGGTAAAGATTAAAAATTGTTTTCATCATTAATACTCACTTTAATTCGAAAATCGATTTGCTAAAATATATTTTCCATTAATTTTCAATTTTATTTAAATATATTTTGTTTTAATCATTCATTATATTATACATTTTTAATATTGTAGTAGATTTTTTTTTATCTTTTTTATTTTTAATACTTTTTTAACCACTAGGGATTTGTCCGACTAGAATGACTGAATCGGCCCGACTTAATAATTAGACCAATTAAACCGCTTCGGGACCATTTCTAGTTAACCGTCCGGTTGAATTTTGCAAACCCTCGGCTTAAGCGTTCATTACACGATCATGGAACCTAACCTACTTGGAGCACCGCAAATGTCGTGTTTTTGCCGCCTTTGATGTTATCTTCGTCATTTTTAGATTTCAGGGGAAGAGGCTACGCATTAACACTGACAATAGTGTACCCACTTGGAGCCGTCTTAATTGACCTACTTTGGACACGACCCAAGTTTTTCAAAGTAAACTGACTAAAATGCCCAAAATCTCATGCTTAAGATTCTTCGGAATTTGAGGTTCACGGACTTGAACATAGAAAAAAGTCACTCTAAAATTAATGGGAAGATGCAATTTTGGTCAAACTTTATGAAAACTTGAAAATTTATGTTTAATCTCAATTACAAAATCTAAAATCTAAAAGTAGGTCTTGGTCGCTCTCAAGATCTCTTCTTCACAGTGATTTAAGTATAGAATAGAAATGGCTATCTTCCTGCATGGTGGTTTAGGTTTAAAATAGAGATGAATATAGTGGTTTAGCTTTAGAATAGAGATGAGAGATTGCTAGTGTCATTTGGGAGAGCGATTCAAAAAGAGTTTGCTCAATGGGGTTTGGTCGATTATTAAAAAAGTAATTATATTTTTCAAAATTTGTGATGTAATTTTTATTGGTACAAGGGATTTCTACTCACTACGCTTGTGGATGTAGCCGTTTTGGAATGAACCACATAAATCCTTATGTTCTTGTGGCGTGCGTATTTTATGTTATATATATATATATCGTATTGTGACTCGTATTCTCAACTGTTTTGTTTTTAGTTGGATAAGTACACGTTTTAGGTAGAATCCAAGTTCTACGAAATCTTGTTTCTGTGTTTAAGAAGGTTCTTAAGTCATAACATGTGGTATCAAAGCTATGGTTCAGTGCAAGGCTAGTATTTGTACGTACGGTTGAAGAAAAACACATGACACAGCATGCAAGTGATTTATTTGAAGTGGAGAAATATGATTGCAAACACAATCTTTCCAATAAGAATGATGAATGAATTTATTGGTAAAAAAATCAACCAATTACAAAGCTATCCAATGGATGTTGGCATGGTGAGTAGGTGCTTTTGATATTAAGGAGGTGGAGATTGTTGGATATGGTGATATCTAAAATCACCAAAAAAAAAAAAAATCTCATATTATGTGGGATTATGATTGATATTGATAAATTTATTAAATAAAACAGAAATTAAAAAAGATTAGGACTCTTAGGTAAATCTCCTCATTTTTTTAGATGTGTGACATTTATGGCAAGTTTCATATTTAGTGCGGATCTCTTATATATGAGATGAGAGAGGAAAGAATAGGTGTACCCTATCGGGGACAACATACGAAAAATGTTGCTTCCTCTAGAGAGATAGGTAGGGGCCTCTTCCTCTAGAGAGATAGGTAGGGGCCTCCTGTGCATGAGAGACAATGTCTCCTATTAGAAAGAAGAAAGCTTTCTATGGAGAGAAACATTGTGATGGTACTTCCTGTAAACTAAAAGGTTGATTTATTATAGAGGAGTGTTTCCTATAGAGATTTTGGGTGGTTTTTTCTTTTAATAAGAGATAGTATTGGTTGCTATAAGGGTTTCATCTTGGACAGTGGTTCAACTGTGGAATAGAGATGGATATCTTCTTATGTAGTTGTTTAACTGTGGAATAGAGATAGGCGATCGGTGGGTGGTGCCGATTGGAAGAGCGTTTCTAAAAAGATTCGCTCGATTGAGTTTGGTCAATTATTAAAGAAGTAACTATGTGTTGCAAAGGGTTTGGTTAATTATTAAAGAAATAACTCTATGTCCTAAAGGGCTTGGACAATTATTAAAGAAGTAACTATTTGTTCCAAAATTTGTGATGTAATTTTTATAGGTATAAAGAATTTGTACTTGCCATGCCTATCGATATAGCCATTTTGGAGTAACCACGTAAATCTTTGTGTTCTTATGACGCGCATATTTTATATATATAACTCGTATTATGGCTCGTATTCTCGGTTATTTAGTTTCTAACTGGATAAATACACGTTCATGGTGGAATCCAACTTTTAGGAATTCTTGTATCCTTGTCTAAGAGGGTTCTTAAATCGTAACAGTGGGAACAAAAACTTTAATTATCCTTTGATGGAATAGTTCAATAACCTTCCATCCAACGGTGGATGGAAAAATTGGAGGCTGTACATTTTCTAGACAATGCACTTTTTTAGCTAGGAAAATATTTTGATTTGATAGGGTTGCTGCCCTATTAAGATAAGTAAAATTTCGCCTCAAAACTCACCAAAAAATTGCAGTTTTTACTTGAAAAACCTTTAAATTGATAATCTCTACCTTGACCACTATGGTTTAAAAAATAAAATTTCAAACCTTAAAAGTAGTATATATTGTAACACATTATCTCAACAGTCTATTTTGCATTACAAATAAGTGCTAATAGAACTGCAAGATTTGTACGTTGGACTTAAGTCTTACAATCAATGTTGAAAATTAGTTTTAGCCCCATTGTAAAGATTTTTGATGCCCAAAATACTTTTTGGATAAAGATTCGAAGTAACGCCTTTCTTTGTTTTTATAAAGAGAAATTATATAAGGAGATTATTTTCTTTTAGTGCAAGATAATTACAATTAATCTTGACTATTGGATGTGAAATTGAAGTGCTATATTTTATTTTATGGACTAAACTTAAAAGTTCAAAAAAAAAAATTATCGAACTTTAAGTTATCAGATTTTATATTAAATAAAATTTGATAGCTTCTTGTATCCCGTCTAATTATATACAATCCCAATAAAAAGTATAGGCCATGTAGAAATGCATCTTTGAGACGGGGCACATGTGGCCTTAGGGTATTTTAGCCATTTCATCGCTAAATTTTTGAAAAATTCCGATGAGTCGGTGAGGGTCCAGTCATTACCGCACGTGCAAATCACACGGGTGAAATCCGTACTCCACACTTGCTCGAATGATTGGCCATCCGTGATTTATCACTGCTGGCCAATCGATGAGCGCAACGTGGGCAATCGAGAGCCACACGAATGCCAGAGCTTGGTAGCTCGTGGCCGACAAGGGGATATGCTGAAGAGATCCAACGGTTCATAACGGCACAGGTGTCTGCATCGACGGACGGCCTGCCTGCACTGCCGTACGGCTGGGCGTGTTTAGGTGGTGGCATCGGGTACCGAGAAGATGAGACGATGCACAAACATTACAATCTAGAGAGAGAAAGTAGAGAGAGAAGTTCCTTGTTTTCTTTGTGGCGGAGAGACTATTTGAAGTGAGAGAATTTGTAGAGAGAGAAAAACTAAATTTTATAAGAGGGAATGTTGCTCTTGTTTTGAGTTATTTTAAGATGAAATTCAAGTAAGAGAGGTGGGTTTCGGAAGTGAACACGTGAAGAGACGTTTAGAGAGAGAAGAATACGTTTTTAGAGAGAGAAAGAGGGAGCAAATGACCATCAGGATGAGAAGGCAATTATGGAGAGAGGGAGGGACTAGAAAAAAACTCAAGTCTAAGACCAAGAGTTCTTTCAGGGAGTCACGAGTTTGAGAAGATATTTAACACATAAAGGAAAATATCAAGAGAGAGAGAGAGATAGTGAGAGAGTTGTGTTTGAGTATTAAATTAATCAGAAAAGGGTTTGGAAGAGAGAGAGAGCGATATATGAAGGACCAGGACCAGGACCTGGACCAGAACCAGAACCAGAGAGTAGTTAAGTTCGTGGTCTGCGAGGACTGGCTTCTCTGTGTGTTTTTTTCTGAACATTTGTCGTGGATTGAGACAATGTGAGGGAGAGTGACCGTGTCCCGCCCGAAAATCCCAGATATCGCCGGAATTCGGCCTGAAAAATCTATTGAATGCCGGAAACTGCATATTCTGGGCTTTTCCTACCAAAAAAATTGCCAGAAGAAAGACTTAGATGCAATTCGAGGACAGAGCCCCCTGTCCTAAAAAATCTCGGCTCAAACGACTTGCAGAGATCAGTTTCAGAAGCGATCTTGGGGAAATTTCATGCTAAGTGAAATTTGGAAGACTCTTGCTACAAAATGTTAGGTAAAATTCCAATGCTTTTGTGATGTTAATGCTTGATAGATGTGCCTGCAATGGTGAATTTCTTGGAGCTTGATTGCCAAAATTGTTTTGGTAAAACGGCAAAAAACTAAAGTCCCTTAGATTTTGGCCGGGAAATTCTTGATAAGGTGCATTCTGCAGTCTTCATTCAAGAAAATCGCCTTATTAGTATTCTAACTTACACTCTGAGATTTTCACTCATACTGTCATTTTACGGGTTGGATCACTGTGTTTTAGGAATAGCAGTTGATATGAACTGCTATGTATAGGCATTATGCAATATTATCGTTAGATTCCAGCGCAATTCAGGTTTTCGTGCTTCATCATCAATGGATCCCGGCTAAATTCAGCCTGTTCCATCTCTCATGGTAAGATTCCGGAAAAAAAACAGATCTTCTCGCCAAGTGAGTGGACCAAGTTTGTGTTTTCCGGCCCTTCTGGTCCATCGACTGGTTCATAGCGTGATCGTGCTTTCTCTTGTGGCCTTTTGAGATTTCTACACAATCATTTGGGTACGGAATAAAATCAAAGGCTTACTATCAAATTTATGCCTTGACTGCTCAGATCACTGATTCTAGTTAGGTTTCACACCTTGATAGTTATTTTTGTGAGATTGTACTTCAACTTTTCATTGCCAGATCACTGATTTCAAACTTTTTTGGAGGTTATATCACTGGAAAAAATTTGAATTTCTGGCCAGGAATTTGAACTTTTCGGCAAGCACTCTGATATTCTGGCCACTACTGCGGCAACATTGCAGGATTTGAATTCTGTTAGACCACTGTCAAGTCTCCAGCTCTGAACTGTCTTGAAATTGTTTGAAATATCTGGATTTCTCGCCTGAAAAATCAGTCGCCATTTTCTAGGCCATATCCCTGAAGTTTCCCAGTTTGAGTCCATTCGTGGACACAAGAAAAGCACTGCAAGAGCCAAGCCAAATTAACAGAGAAGAGGAGTTCTACAGAAGCAAAATCGAGTTTGGATTTTCGGAAACAATAAAGCCGGAGTGGCTTGATCTGAATTCCACTGACGCCAAAGAAAGAAAACTGATAACGCGGAACAGGCTGGAATTTTGACAGAATCAAAAGGACTTTGCCGGAATTGTAAGGAATCAAAAAGATTTTGCCTGAATTTTGCAGCCACTTGTTCTCCCTGAGCTGCTATTTGCCCACGTAATTTCATTAAGCTGCCATTGTCGAGTCCACATTGCAACTTAGCTTCCGTTTTTGGGACGGCTGAGAAGCTCTGATTCTCCTGCCATTGTTATAATAAGTTGTAGGATTTCATATTAAGCAACAATTTCCCCATCCTTGCTACCAGTCAAGATTAAGCTACCATTTTCTGGCAATCGCTGAACTTCTAGTTACCAGCATTTTCACCTAAGCTGAAACTCAGCAGATTTAGAAATCAGTAATAATGCAAGACCCGGGAACCGACCCATTGGTGCCGGCCCAGCTTCGGGCATCAGCTGCTGCGTCCTGCAGCCGACTCCTGACTCACAACCGGCGGCTCCGCCCACACCCTACCCAATCGCTAAAATGCCCCCGTTGCGACTCCACCAATACGAAGTTTTGCTACTACAACAATTATAACCTCTGCCAGCCACGCCACTTCTGCAAGTCGTGCCGCCGCTACTGGACCAAGGGCGGCGTCCTCCGTAACGTCCCAGTCGGCGGCGGTTGCCGTAAGAACAAGCGCTCGTCCTCATCGTCCCAAGCTGCCAAGCCGAGCCGCCAACCTGCTCCTCCGCCGACCGCTGCCTCTGCTGCTTTATCTTCATCCAGCGAGAGCTCGTCCATCACGGGAACCGAGCCAACCATCGGCTCAGCTCAAACTGCCGGTCAAGCTGGAGCGGAGCAGTACTTCAACTTTCCGGCAGCCGCCCCAACCGAAATATTGGACACTTCGGCCGAAATGATGAATTTCGGGGGGTTTTTGCCGGAATCCGGGAGCTTTACGAGCTTGATAACCGGGGGACCAAGCTCTGCTAACCCTGGCATGGGCTTCGGAATGACGGAGTTAGGGTTTCGTTTACAGGGGCAGCCAGAGATAGGAGGGGGTAATGGGGATTTGACGTCTAGGATGACGGCGTTTGACTGGCAAGGTAACGGAGAGCTGGACGTGGGAAACGGTGTTGAGCAGGGGTTTTGTTGGGGGCAGGGGCAGTGGGGGGACCATGATCAGCAGGGCTTCTTCTTCCCTTGATGACACGTGCCAGTGAACGGCACGTGTGAGTTTGCACGAGTATGTATAAATTTACCTTCTTTTTTTTATTTTTTTTGGTTATTTTAAATGTTTTTTTGGTTTTTTAGTTTTTTTAAAAATTTGCTTTGCATATAATTATGTTTTGGTTTATGGTGTTTTTGTGTGTTTGCAACTAACGCCGCTTTTGATGAAATGGATGAAAAGTTGGAGGGGTATATATGATTGTTTTTATATCCCTTTATTTGATTATGGAAAATACCTAAACACATGATAATTTGTGTAACTTGAATGCCATCTTTGCCATGATTTTTATTTATTTTTCCTTTAATCTTTTGTCACACCTCATTCTATGTCTCACTTGCGATGTGTAAGGTTCACAATTAAAGAATAAAAAAAATGGACGATAACTTTGCTATCCGTGCTATTGCCGAGAATTAGTGATCGGAATTTCATCCCTTTTACCGAATCTAAATAGTTGGAAAAAGACTGTGAGGATGATGAATTTTCTCTCTCTTGATCAATGAATTGGATTAGGGGATTTTTAGGAATTCAATGAAGGATTCTTCTTTTTTAGTTATGGCATCACATGTTGAGCCTCCATATGTTTAATCAGTGGTAGAAAATCTGACAAGACTTGGTGTCTGTGTATGTTTAAACAATGCTAGAAAATTTGGCGAGTGCCAGGGTTACTCCGACTCCGCAGGCTGATCTGGAACCAAAACCATGGGAACTGGGCAAGTCTTGGTTTTGAAAATGTTATTGTTAATTTCTTCAGGATCATGTGGAGGAGTTGAGCTGTGTAACTCTGCTCGGGACCTTTGGGCCATATTGCTGAACTTGATGAAATTTTCTGTGATTTTTCTAGATTATAAATTAAACTTTTTCCTTATTAGTGATAAGTGTATCATACACCAAGTGTATTATAGTATGCGAACCACCACAGGAACCTTCCCTTTTTGGAAATTTCTCATTCCAATTTGTAATGAATCTTTGTCAGTATCAAAAAAAAATAAAAAATAAAATGTAATGAATCTTTGTTGAATTTGTGGAGATTTTGCCAGGAACTTATCAACTAGAATGAGTTTGTTGAAACCATTCTTAGCTTGAGAATTTTGTTATCTTACTATACATGTGGATTTAAAACTTCATTACCATGAAAATTTACAAAACAGCTTTCTTTGTATCCTTGCTTCTCATTGAGAGTGGCAAAACTGCTTTCTTCTATTGTTTTTTCTGGCAATTGACAGAAACCTGCTGTTTTCTGCGTTTTGCTGATAACCAGTGTTTCATTCCAAAAGTTGCACCTGTGAATGGTGGCCAAGGCATGGGATCTTTTCCAATGCAAATTTAAGGAGTTGTTGGCTCCGGCGTGAAGGCAACTTGGTTTTGGATTGAAACTCTAGGTTTTTTATTTTTGGTAACATTAAATTTCATTTTAGATAAAGGGAAAATTTCTCCATATTTCTTAATTTTAGGTTTCATTTCTTGATGAATCCAAAATTTTAATAAATATCTTAAGAAAATTGCTAACCCCCCAAGATGGACTTTTTACCTACTCTACACCCCACCTAACTTTTCATTGCAACTCCTCCAAAAAATGATGTTTTCTAGTTAATACCCCTACACCAGCATTGTTTTGGATGAAAATACTTTTTATTTTTGTTGGAGACGGCGGTGAGGCATTTTGGATAGGCGGTCAGGCACTTGAAGTTTACGGTTTTGCATTTTGAAGGGCCGTCGGGCGTTTTGATATGGTGATGCGTCATTTTGTAAGGGCATTCTGTCGTTTTGAAGTACCCATTGTACAAATGTAATTTTCTTTTTATTGGGATACGAAAATGATTATTTTTGTGAAAAGAGGGTATTATCGTAAAAAAAAAGTAACTTTTGGTATATTAGCCAGAAAACATCATCTCGTAGGAGAGTTGTTAGTAAAAGTTGGGTGTGTGTAAAGTGAGTAAAAAGTCTATCTTGGGGTTTTGGCAATTTTCCAAATATTTTTTAATTAACCTAAACAAATGTGAAAAATACAAAGTTCTTTCTAAACTCAATCTTTTCTCTCCTTTTATTGATATATTCTAAATTTCTCTCTCTCACTCTCTCTCCTTTCGCTTCTTGCATATTTTTTACTCTCTGTCCTCGTGTTTTTTCGAACATCTCTCTTTTCGCCTGGTAACCTCTCACCTCCATTAAACTTTTCTCTTTCTCTAGAAGTTTGAGATGATGACTTTGAGAAAAGATATATCTTTTTAGATTTGTTTGGCCTAAAAAAACATATTTAAATTAGCTAAGGGGTTAGAAGAAATAAAATCTATAATTTTATGCCTCAAGATATCTTTTAAAACTTCAGGTCTATTGTGAAATAAAATCTAAAAATAGAAAGTATGGAGATATTTTCCCTCGGAAAAATGTTGTTTGAATAGGGTCTCATTGAAACCCTAGCTTAATATTATCTTTGGTTGCACTCAATTGTAAAACATGGGTTTTGCATAATAGTATCTATTCTCAAATTATAAAGGTTGTCATTTTTTGCTTTTCATTTTTATGATCTCATTTTATTAGTTTCAAGTTTTAAGGGCAAGTATTTTTCACTTTATGTTTTATGGAGATCTATTTAAATTATTGTTTATTTTTTTCTTTTTCTTTGAAGATTTAATTATTATTATTATTTGAAGATCTAGTTTGCCCTAACAATCGATTGGTAATGAAATTGGAGCCCAACCTCATGATATAAAACATAAGCTAATAACAAATGACAAAAGCTAAAATCAAAACATAAACCCAACGATTAAAATTAGGTAGAACATAAACTAATAATAAAAGCTACAAACATCACATTGTTCGAAATAAAATAAAAGTAACAGCGTGTCCAAAATGGCAACTGCTGATCATGTTCTTTAAGAGGCAGAGATTTGCTTCAATTGTTCATCCCTTCACGTCTCAATCATTGCAAAAATAATACCAGTATTGGTCTTTATCTAGATACTATTTTACATTTGATCCAAAAAGATCACAATTACCTATAACTGTCTAATATTTGAAATCTGATGGCTTAGGTATATCACAAGGTTTTGAATTTTGAGCTTGATCAATAGATTAAATGTAGCCAACCTATTTCACATCTAATGGTCAAGATTAATTTTGATCACCTTGTACCACAAGTAAATATTCTCATATACTTTTCCCTTTAGCCAAGTGGAATCAAATGCTTCGGAGAAGATATTCGAGGTTCGAAATCTTTATAAGCTCATTGTACAACATCTTTAGCAGCAGATATTTTATCCTGCTGAAATGATTGAACTGCCTCTCCAACTTTCTTACATAGACGGTGTTCCGGATCTCTTCACTCTTTCTCAGATCTTAATTTCAACCACTACTACGCCATCAACATCTGCACTTTCTACATCAATGCCAAACAATGGTTCTTCAAGATTTTTGTTGCTCAAATCAAGTGGTGGGTTGATGTCTGCTTCTGCAAATGTTCTTTGTCCGCTACCCTTTGGTCAAATCATCACCACATTAATTCAATCAATCAAATATTGCGTGCTGTAACAAATTAAAATGAAATCTAGATATGAAAATAGGAAAATTGTTTCATGCTGGTTGGATAGCATTTCTACATATGCGGTCCAGATTGTATAAAGCATTCATGTTAAAGATGGATGCAAGTAGGTGTTCTATCTGAAAACAATGGAAACTAACAGTCCAAATGTTTTCTTACTAGAATTATTATTTTTAGTTTTTAAAATTTGTTTATTTTTTCATATTCATGATCTCCATATTAGAGATTACATGTCTTCAAAAATTAAGTCTTAAAATCCATCTCAAAAATAGATTTATTAAGAGGCCTGCATTTTTACAAATGCGGCCTAGGCGAAACGGGTGCACCAGCAAATGCTTCTCGCATAAAATATCCTCAACAAGGAATATCTAGAGTGATTCATTGATCCCATCCGAATCTGCTTTGATTAGTCGAGTCCTTTGCAACTAAGTGTGTCTCTTTGTTACTCTTCTATTGGACTATTTGTTGTGTTGGATCTCACAAGCTTTACCGTCCATATCTCCTGAGATATTAGGTGGTTTAGTCCAGAAAAATGACCGATCAAGGGTAACAAGTTACCTTCTTCTTCTTACTAAATCATATTTATTTATCAATCTAAAAAAATTTGTATACAACGAAGAACAATTGTTTCATACCGGGTTGGACCGTATTTCTACATTATGTGGTCCAAAGGTATAAAACATCTATTTTAAAGATGGATGCAAATAGGTGGCCATCTAAAAACAATTGTAACTAATGATCATGTTTTTTTAATATAATTCTTGTTTCTAGTTTTTAATTTTAATTTTATTTTTTTTCATATTCATGATCTCCATGTTAAAGATTATATATTAACTGAAAATTAGGATCAAATTGTATTTATTGCCAAGCCCTCATTTCTAGAATATGTGGTTTGGACGCATGCTAACCGCATCTTACAATGAAACCATCTGGCTGCATGCTAATCGCGTCTTACAATTAAACCATTTACTTTTGATTCAAGGACGTCACAATCATCATTAACAATTAGATTTAAAATTGGGTAGTTGTGGATGTGCTATTGGTAAAGTACAAAATCCAAAATAAAATTTCTCGAATGTTACTGCACATTTTCATCTATTAAATTTTACATCCAATGGATAAAAATGATTGTGAACTCTTTATATAAAAAACTAAATAATCTCATAGTATACAATTCCATCTAAAAAATATGGTACTCCATTAGTGAGACTGACTTGGACTCGGTCGTTGAGTTGCCGCAAATTGTATATAATGTGTACAACTCGGAGTTTAGGTGTGTCACAAAGTTTGAAATTTTTTTTTTTGAATTTTGAGCTTAGTCAATGAAATAAATTCAAGCACTTAATTTCACCTCTAATGGTCAAAGATTAGTTGTCACCATCTCATATGCTTTCCCAGAACAATTCAGAAGAAAACAAAAATTTGTAAAATCTCTCTCCCCTTCTCTCTCTCTCTCACCCCAAGTTAAAATAATAATAATAATAATAATAAAGTTTATATAGAGCCGATGCTCTAAACAATCAAATTAGAGCTTACTTCAAAAATTTCACTAGAAGAAATTGTTTTGATGTCCAAATATCCTTAAATTGATCATCTTGACATCACGATGCATGGACATGACAAAAAAATGGATTTCAAGTTTTGGAAATAGTGCATCTTCTATCACATTTTTGGACCGTCAATTTTTAAGATTTTCAAGTTTTCATAGACATACTCGATCTATATTATTTTTTAAGCTTTAAATTTTATAATTA